GCATCATGTTTCCAACTCCTTCTTACCTTATTACACGTACATCGCTTCAGCTAATTCTTTCTCGACTCAGTTCCAGTGTGACAGAGATGTGATCTATGATAACACATCTCCTTGCTATTACTTTATTTAATCATTGTCAAATCTATTAATTTTCTTATTATCTAGCTTAATCTCTCTCTTTTCCATGTGTAGCGACCCACATTTAATCGACACCTTATTCTTGTTTAGAAAGAAGTTAACGTTGCTTTTCTTAAACCGTCCTACCCAGATTTGTACGTTTTTTCGCTGTACCGCCTCGTATGCGCCCTTTGAAACAATGTCCGAGGCCCATACTACTTCTTTTGCTATTGGGTTGACCAAACACTTCTGGTAGATTTTGAAGGCGGAACCTTACAGGCACATCTAAATTTGAAGTGCCCTTTAACTCTTTTCAGGTATTGGTGCGATTATATGACCTCATCTAAGAGTTTGTTTTGTATTGCAAAACTCTCCCGGATGAGTTACTTTAAGAAGGTCTCTTCCGGTTCCTTGTACAATTGCGGGTTCATTGCTGTTCTTTATATCCATAGGTCTACACGTGCGTCTTTCTGCTTCTTACGATAATTTTCCTCTTTCTATTTGGTAGTTTGTTCCCTCTTTCTCTTTTATTGTAAACATGATCTCCTGTTTTCAGTCGTTTTAATGGTCTTGCCTATATCATAATAACTTTTTGTAGATTTGTCTCTTCAGTAAATGTTGTTTATGTCTTCATATCGTTTAGCTTGGACAAAATCTTTTATAGGCATCAATCCATTACTTTCTTCCAAACATCAATTTGAGTGACTTATTTCATCTGAAATAGGAGAGTTACGATTCCAGTAAAACTAAACTGGATCCTTGTGTCAACTACAGCTTTTCTAACATTCGCTGACAGTTTGAATATGTCTCAACCATTCCATTAGACTGTGGGTTTTGGATTGAAGTTCTGGTTTCAAAATTCCATCTTCTTGAAAATCTTTATATTTCCTGCAATTATATGTGGACCATTATCCGATATATATTTCGGAATACCATGTCTTGCAAATTGATTTCATTGCTTTATCACTGCACACTGACAAATCTTCCAAATATCCAATTTCAACATATTTGCTAAAAAATCTAACTATTAGATATCCCTTCCTGAAAGTAAAAAGGTCTGTCCCAAGACTTCCCATGGACCATTAGGTAATTCTTTAGATATCATTGGTTCTTTAGTATTAGCTTTTTGTAAACTTAAACATGTTTGACAATTCAGTACAAATCTTCAATTCTTTGGACATTCCTGGGCAAATAATATTTCTCTTGCTTTGATCTTGCATTTACTACTCCTAAATGACCATATGAATTCTGCTTAACATATCTTTCGTAAACTTCTTGGTACACAACACAGGAATTTTAAATATTAATCATTGCTTCTGATAGTTCTTCTCTGAAGTTAAAATATGGTTTGCCAGTCTGGAACCAACATTTTTATCTGGCCATCCAGTTTTAATTAATTTCTTAAAACTTGTAGTTCTTCATTTTTTCTGTTTCCAGTTGAAAAACTTCCATTTTACCATTGACATTGGTATATATCTACAACAATCCAACATGAGCTTCTATTCTCCTTCAAAGAATCAGATCCTTTATCGTGAATGATCTTGATAATGCATCCGCTATAAAAAGTTTTTCCTGGTTTTATTATCTCAAACGGATATGGCTGTAATCTTATACGCATTCTTGTAGTCTTACAGGGCATTTATTAATGGCTTTTAAAAATTGATTCCAGTGGTTTTATGATCACATTTCACAGTAATTTTTTTTCCAAATATATACTGGTGAAATTTCTCCAGCAAATACAATAGCTAAGTTTCCTTTTCAATTTGAGCGAATTCTTCTGTGTATCTGTTAATGCTTAGATGCATATGCCACTGGTAAATTATTCTGCAGTAACTGCTCCTAGTTCCTTTTGAGATGCATCTACAGATAAAACTACTGGCAGTTTATATCATAATACTGTTAAAACGGTTTATTTACCAAGACATCTTTGAGCTTAAATGCTTTTTCATGTGTTGGCATTCCAGTTCCAGATAACTTGTTTTTTCAACAAACTCTTAAACATGAGGTCAATTCTGATACATTAGGTATAAATCTAGAAACATATGTAATCATTCCTAGGAAAGTTTCTAATTCTTTCACATTTTGGTGGTTTTTATCTAGAATAGCCTTAATTGTCTTCATCTGGTTTAAACCATCTTTAGAAATATATGTCCCATATTTTCATTTCATTCAGCCCAATTTACATTTATTTAAATTAAATTTAACATTCTTTTCTCTGGCTCTGTCCACAACTCTTTATCTTGAATCATGTTTTTTTATCTTTCCCCAACTAATAAGTCATCTATATAATTGAACTCCTTCTAAATCACTAAAAATCAGAAAAAATTCTGTGGAAAATCTCTGGTGATGAACTCAGTCCATATGGCAACCTTAAAAAAACAATATCTACCAAACGGAGTGTTAAATGTAGAAATCACAACTTGAATCTGACAGTTTAATTTGCCAAAAATGCTGTTGCATCTAAAATACTAAGACCTTTGCATTTGTCATTTGAGATAAATTTCTTCAAGGTTGGTATGTGATAATGCTCCTCAGATATTTTTGGTTAAGGTGCTGAGGATCTAAACACACTCTTAAATTACCATCCTTTTTCCGTATTACCACTAATGAATTCACGAATTCTGTTGGTTAGTTAACTTTATAATACCATCTTTTTCCATTCTTGCTAATTCCTTTTTTAATGGGTTTAATAAGCTAAATGGAATTTTCCTACAGGGTTCTATTTTACCAACAACTCCTGGTTTTAATTTAATATGATATGATATCCAGTTAAATTCCAGTCCTTTAAAAATTTGATATCCTTTTAAAGTTCTGGTAACATTCGTTAGAATCAGGATTTACTGTACAAATCCTTTGTATTAGGTTTATTTTTTGCAATGAGGTAACCCTAAAAATAGCTGGAACATTTTTATCACATGCTAGACTTGAAATTCTATTTATCCTTGTTCCCTTTTGATTTTTACATAATAATTTACATTTTCAAACATCAATTGTAGTACCATTGTAATTATTTAAAGTGACTTTTGATTTTAGTGAAACATTCTCTCAATTTAATTGTTTAAATTTAGGCAATGGTGCACATTACACTGAGCTCCAGTATCCAACTTAACAATAAAATATTTAGATATGTTATTTTAGTTCAACCATTCGGTTTTATTTTTAGAAAATGGATTTATATCTTCACTGACCTAAAAATATATTTTACCATTATTATGAACTCATGCTCTAAATTATTCTGACAACATTAACATTTTAAAAGTGCACATTTAGAAAAGTGATTTTCTTTTTACAGTACAAGCAAATCTTATTATAAAGCAGGGACAGTTGTATAACTTATGAAAAGTTCCACATTTCTACATGGTTTTGGATTATTGTACTTATTTCCTTGATAGTTTGAAGAAGATTATAGTACTTTGTTTTACATGATAGTTTTTACAAGGCTGACTTTTTTCTTCTGAAGGTCGAATTTATTACGTTTGATAGCTTCCTATTTTATTTTCTTCAGTTAAAGTTTTCAGCTGAAGTTCTGCTAATTCAGAAGCTTAACATTTTTTTACACATTTTTCCAATGTAACTGATCTTCCCTTAATAATCTGTCTTTGAGATTTTATTTAGAATTCCACTTACTATTCTATCCCTTATTAAACTATCTTTTAATTCTGCAAATCCACAGTTGCACTTAATTTCTTTAAATCGGTTAAGAAATCATCAAACGATTCACCTACATGTTGTGTTCGACAGAAAAATATAGTCTATCAACACTTTCGTTTGCTTTCGGTATGCAAAAATGTTCGAAAGCTTCAATACTTGTCAACATCCTTCTTATCTCTTCACTTAAATTAAAAGTATTAAATTTTCAAGTGCTTCTTCACCAATTATATGCAATAAAATAGCTACTTTAATTCAGGTGATTTAGATACCACCAGACGCTAACATATAAATTTGGAATTTTTGTTTCCTTTCTTCCAATTTCGCTTAAATTTCCTTCGAAACTTAGATTACTTGGTGGCTTTAATCATCCATATTTAATTTAGGACATTAAATAGTTTATATATACGTATTTTTAGCACTTCCAATAAAAATAAAAAACTCACTTACCGCGATAATAAGTCGATTTACAGAAACAACTTCCATGATGTTTTTTGTTTAGAACATCTTTACCGAGGCTGCATGGTTCTTGAAAAAAGATTTCTTTTTAATCAACGACGGGCTGCCCATGTGTTGTATTTTAATGTGTTGGGTACTGCTCAGTATGATTACAAGTTGTACACAAACATTTTATTCTACATTACTCATCAACTATTCATTAACAGTTATAGTTAAGATAATAATAGATACAGTAAGTTCATATAAAACGTTGGCACCCATCGTAACTAAGGCTCCTCTAGGTATATAGGAACCAAGGTTTTTATATACCTAGAGGTTCAAGGTAATATGGGAACGTAACTAAGCAGAACTGCATGCGACCTATGTGTCGCCATCTGTTGAGATTTCTGTGAAGAATGTTCTGTTCAGGTCCCTGATTTTTATCAGAAGTCGAGTAAAAAGATGTTTCTACATCTTGACGCTCGAGAATAATAATAATAATAATAATATTAATAATAAAGAGCAATAATTAGCAGAGAGCAAAAAGAGCAATTATTGTGTGTAAAGCAATTATTAGCAGGAGCATCACTTTTTAGTCATAATCTTTTTCTTGGCAGATCTTTACATAATAAACATTATATAATTCACACAATTCTTCAGTAAAAGCACAGTAAAAATTTTTTCTAGATTAAATATGAAAGGATGAATTTAAATAAAATATATACAAGTCCTTTGCGAGAAGTTATCCCAACTTGTTTTTTTTTTTCCCTTGGCCTGGCAGAAAGACCTCTCAAGTGCAAAACAAGACGTATGTCTGTCAGTCTTGCCTTACCGAAATGTTTATTTATTAATCTGGTATATAGCTGATATTGCCTTTATAATTTTCATTTAATAACATAAGTCTGCAGACATGTTATTACATCGTGCACTTCTAACTTTGCCAAGTACAAGAACTTTTAATTTCTTTAATGTAACTAATTTAAAAGCTGTAAGAAGTTTTAAAAGTGAGCATAGCTTAGATCGCATTTACCCAAATAGTACACTTGATCTGTCAAAACCAAAGGTATTCATTTATGAGGATTCATTTTTTTTATATAGATATTTTTAAGGTTTTAATTTTATTTATCTATTCATATTTTTCTGTGAACCTATACTATTCATAGGTTGGTTATAATCGTTCGTTAGATTTTAGTGAAAATTTTAAAAACAGCTTATGAAATCAGTTATTAAGTACAAAAGTAGGGGAAAGTGCAGAATCACCCACTGCTTGCCGCGTTTTTAAGAATTGCACGTACTCGGTATCCATGTACACATCGACCTATTTTCACTTAAAATAACCTCGCAGAATTGCACAAAAGTAGCATTGCACACTCCCTTGACTTTATCCAGGTACACATCGACCTATTTTCACTTAAAAAATCAAAGAAAATTGACAAAAATCTAATTCTTCTTACTCTTGTAAAAAGCGCCAAACAAATAAGTAGGCGATTCTGTGTTTTACCCGAAAAATATTTGCTTACATTCAGATTGATGCATTTGGGAGTCTTTAGGTTTATGAAACTAATAATAATAAATGTGTAATATCAGGTATGTGTAAAGTAATCTTATCTTGGGTAAAAGTTCAGAATTGCCCACTTATTTGTTTGGCGTTTGCTTGGAGTCAAGGGAGTGCACAATGCCATTTTTGTGCAATTCTGGGATTTTTTTTTTTAGGTGAAAGTTGGTTGATGTGTACATGGATACCGAGTTTGTGCAATTCTTAAAAACACGCCAAGCAGTGGCTGATTCTGTGCTTTCCCCCTTATCTTTATCATATGCAGTTAAGATTTTTTTGTGTTGCACTGGAAATTCGGAAAAAAACTATTGACATTTTGCGTTAAGGTTCTCGTTTGCATATTTTCCCTGGAACAGTACCTTTTTCTTTCATAAAATATCTCAGTGGCATGTTTTTCTTTGAAAAGTTGGGAGTAATCCTGTTTTGGGTGAAGTGCAGAATCGCCCACTTATTTGCCGTTTTTTACAAGAGTAAGAAGAATATGATTTTTTGTCAATTTCCTTTGACTTTTTAACTGAAAATAGATCGATGTATACATGGATAAAGTCAAGGGAGTGCGCAATGCCGAATTTTTGCAATTCTATGAAGTTTTTTTAAGTGAAAATAGGTCGATGTGTACGTGGATACCGAGTTGTGCAATTCGTAAAAACGCGCCAAGCAGTGGTTGATTCTGTACTCCCCCCATGTTTCTTAGTTTAGACAAGAAAAATTTTTTTCTTTTAATTCATGAATACAATTTTTGGTACTTTTCCGTTTTGCTGACACAATTCTCGCCAAGCAGACTTTAATGGTGACAGCATACAGTACACGCATAAAAAATGTTAACAAATGTTAGTTCTAAGAATTTTTTATTTTAAAGGCATAAACATTTTAATATCATTTAAAATTTTGTAAAAAGCCAATAAATAAAAACAATAAATTTGTAAAAAGACGTTAATTTAAGAATTTACTATGCTTTCATGGTTCAACATCCTGATTTGCTGGTTCATATCACGTGACCCCCAAGTAATCTCATCTCATGTAAACTATGTTACAAAAATCTAACTCTCTCAGTAATTATTTACATTAATTTCAAGTTAAATCAATCTTAGTTTGGAATACAGGTTTCAATGCAAGAATTATTTCAATTTATACAAATAGCTTACTCAGAAATTATGTAAAACTGCAGTCCTTTACTTCGTTAGTACATTCTCATTAAAATTGATGAATTTAACCATTGACTTTGCCTTTTCTGTATTTTCGCCTTCGTGTGAGCGATGTGATTGAATCCTAATTGACTTAATTACCGTGTATGGCCTTAAGGCATAAAATTGAACTATCTGGTAAAAATTCTATGTAATTGCATGCCAGTATTGAAAGAAACAATCAGTCTGATAAGAAATGGCTGCTACTTGTTTTGAAAATGAGGCATAATAGGTTACCAGCAAGGATATTCCATTTAGCATCAGTTGTACCATTATTAGCAACTTTATCGCCTGCGCCGGCAAAACGGAAAAGTACCCAATTTTTTTACGTGTCTGAATAGTGACAGTCATTGTAGTAGCTGGGGTCATTTGTTTCTGGCAGGAATGGTTCATTTTATGCTTTATATCTTTTAAGGTAACTGTCCTTCTTAGGTGACTTTTTCTGAATGTGACCAGTATTTTTGAGATTATAAATAAAAATTGGTATTGAATATCACCCACTTAAGATGATCATCTCCACATATTGCCTAGAGCCAAAAGTAGTTGTTTTAAAGAAATATTAATTGTATTTTATTTTGGTGCTGATAGCAGAAAGAAGGAATATTTTATTTTTTTTTCCGGGGTTTTGTCTGTTTCATGCATCTTTTCAGTCTGAATTAAATCTTGTTAATTCTCATTTTTTTTAAATTAAATATTTGAAAATAATCTCAGTTTTTAAGTAAGTATTATGAAAATCTTTTTGTTTTTTCTTCATGTATTTGTGTTTGCATTGAAAGTATTCTGTTTAGTTTTTGTATTCATTGTTGTAATTTGGTCTTAGACTGAACAGAGTAAGTAGATATATTTGTGAAAATAAGAAAAGGTCTAAATTAAACTTTTTTTACTATATAAATATGAGATTCGAGATAAGTATTAAAAGTAGTTTCCTAATAAAAACCTGCAGATAAAAGTGCGCAGTTCTGATTGACAAGTACTCGCATAAAAACTACCATTGCTAAATGCTTAGTTATAAAAGTCAATGTAAATAAAAACAAACAGCATACATTTTTTAAATAGGTAAAAAATTATCTTTTTCTTCCTATACATCCTCTTCTCATGCCTTCTCACCTTCCTAAAAACTTCATCTAAGTTTCTTGAATATCTTCTCTGTGGTATTTTATGATAACATTTTATTTTCTCAAATTTTGGACAATTACTCATTTAAGATTACCCTGTAGACATTATATCACATGACTCTTTATGAGTATTAAAATAAAATTCTTTTAAAGATCAATTTATTTCTCACTGTCTTCTAATCAATCTTCTCTCTAATTGACCCCCCACTGACACTAGACACCACTTTACAGTACAATGCAGCATGCAGACCAAAACTTTCCTATACCACAATATAATGTATTTCATGTTTCTTTCCACAGTTTCCAGAAGGGATAAAGCAATTAATCAAGATTTTCTCTTTCATTGTTTCTTTCACTTAATAAGGGGCGAAAGCCAAGAAACTGCAAACTGTTCATTAATTATTAGCTGACCAAACGATGAATGGCGCTGAGTTTACACTGAGAAGATTTTATGATAAAAGTGCTTATGATAAAAAAATGCTGATTTTATGCCAATACAAAATCTTGCACATGAATTTAACTCTCTACTAACTTTCCCTTTTATTTTCATTAATGACTTTCTTTTACAAGAAGCTGCTTAAATACATATCTCTGAAGGAAACTTGTTGCTTTTTTCCCGTATTTAACACTGGGATTTGTTAAGCCATTAAGGCTGATGATGATACATCAGTTTTTATTGTTGACTTTCACAAAAGGAAAATCCAGAAGGACGATCCTGACCTGCTATTTAATGATAAGAAACTGAAGAATAGCAAATGGTGCTAAGACTACAGTTTACATTTTGGACAGGGTGAGGAACTTAAAGTTTCACAGATTAGTAAGTTTTGTCCTAGTGTGAAGAAATTTTACAAAGGAGGCTGTGAGGGTTAGAGTAGACTGAAGGATACCGCTTGTATTATCGCCAAGTTGTTGGGCTGTTTATCGGCAAGTTGTTTCATTTATTTTAACCCGAGCAGTTGAATTTTATGGCAAACCTATTATGACGTAATCCGTGGCATGATTGTGGTAAATTTTGAATTATGGGATGTTTTGTTGTGTGTTGTTTGTTTGTTCTTACATTGCATGTTTTGTTGTTTAGATGGTAAAAGGGCTGAATGTAGTAAGATTAATTTGAAGTTTCTGTACGATTTGAAACGAAAGGAGAAAGAGCATTAATTGACTGGTGTGTAAATGAAGGTTTACTTAGTAGCCATTTTCCGGATAGTCCGGAACTATGGATGATTTTACTCTAATTTTTTTTTTTAAATTTATGTGGTGACGCCAATATACAGATTCAAGTTTAGATAATTTTAGGAAGTTTTTGGATGATGTTAAGGAATTTTGCGTGTCACAAACTGAAGATGAAGAAATTTCTAAATAAGTTAAGTGGATATTTGCTTTATGTAGTGCTTAGATGCATAAGAGGTTTTTCCTTTTTTATGTTATTTTATGGTTTGGTTTAAAATGTAGTTTATTGAGATTATATAGTTTTGTTTGCCTCTACTGTAGAATTGTGTGCTCCTTTAATTTTTTTAAGTGAAAATATATCGATGTGCAAATAAACAAAGTGAAGAGAGTGCAATGCCAAGTTTGTGCAATTATGTGATGTTTTTTCAAGTGAAAATAGGTCAATGTGTACATGGATAAAGCCAAGGGAGTGAGCAATGCCTAGTTTATGCAATTCTTTGATTTTTCTTTAAGTGAAAATAGGTTAGTGTGTACATGGATGCCGAGTTTGTGCAATTCTTTGACTTGTTATTTTGTCTTTGTGTAGCGGCGGTTTATGGCACTAAAATCACCACTCCACAAAATCAAAATAACAGGTCAAAGAATTGCACAAACTCTGAATCCATGTACCACTAAAAATTACCAATTTTTGCCAAGGGGTACCCGTAAATATAGTTTTATCGCTGTCAGTATATACCCCCCCCCCAAAAAAAATGCTCATGAACAGTGAGATTTTGAAGTGTACAGAAGTAGTGGATGTTTCATTGAGAAGGAAAATTTCATTTTCTTATGTTCAGTTTATGATTTCATTGTTCAAAAACTTTCTGTTGATGTTGAACAATTGGAAACTGAATTTGCAGTTTACCATTTCATTGTTTTGGATGATGAAACTTTTACTGTTCTTTGAATGATTGTAGTATGGTACTGCATTTCAAAATTGCAAGATAAAAATGGATTTTACTAATCTGGAGAACTGAGCAAAGTAATGCTGATAATTTTATTA